CATATGTGCAAAATTTAGTGGTGATACCGATATTTCTGACGAAGTTATTAACTATAAATCTATTTCCGAGAATATGTACCTTTGTATGGAAGCTATAGGAAATGTTGAATCGTTTCATTGACATCCATATAAACATTAGGGGAAAAACGAGGGTTGCAATAGTGGGTGTGGCATCTCACATTTGAATGGAATAATAAAATTTGGAAACCATTGAAGTAAGAATCCTTTATTATAAATATTAATAATTTGGAAAAAATGGGCGGGACTAGCAATAATGCAAATGGTCCATGCCATAAGCAATAAATATAAAAAACTGTTATATCGGGAAAACAATAATATATAAAACCTACGAATATTTTAAGAATATGTATGGGAATGTAAAGGTCAAATGGCGGTCAGACTTTTAATTTGTATTTTTATTAAAGTAGCGAAGCACACGTGGTATTAGTACTATTCAATAGTAGATTATTGAAGCCCATAAATTACATAATTTCATCTTAATCTCTTACAAAAATTTCAATTCAAAAAAAAAAAAAAAAAAAACACCAAATGCCAGACAAAACGTCTGGACATTTAAACAACTTTTTTCAATAAAAATTCATTCCATTTATAACAGTTTTAACATACAAATCTGGTCAATCGATTTATTTATATTTTAAAAGCAGCCAGTGTGTCAAGCACTCACTAAGTAAATTTGCTAAATTTTATTGAAATTCAAGTTAGTTTTTTTTCTCGATTTGAACAGTTTTATTGAAGCGATTGCATTAAAATTTATTTGAATATGTTAGAGTGGTGTCTCTGTACTTTTTTGCAATATATATTTTTATTTGAGTATTAAAAAAGACAAAAACTAGTTTTAATTAATTGAATTTTATTAATCTTAATTTAAGATCTTTTGCTAATTTATTGGTGGCAATATGATATGAAAAACTTATACATTTAAGACTGTTGTCAAAGAAAAAATAAAAATTTCAAAATTTAACATGCACAAATAAATGCATTACAGAAGTAATGCATTTTAGCAACTTAAATTGTTAAATTATTTTTTTGTTCAAACATTTTACATAATAGTTAAGTAGTTTTGCTTATAGCTTGATCTTTAAATATGCAATTTCAAAATAAAATATTGAAAAACTACTAGTTTTTAAATTCTAATAATCCCAAATTAACACATTTAGTACTCAAACTATACGTTTAATTATGTAAATATATGACACAGATTAAATCTGTGAATTTATTATTTTAGAAATATGATTTTTAATATGATATGTTTTCATAAATATTAAACACACACTTTGACGTTTATATACAGTGTAATAAATTCGTTATTGACCGGCAACTGGTTAGTTTTTTCTTCATAATAAAAATTGTTATTACGTTTACGAATTAGTTCACAAAACTGACAAAATTACACAAAAGTCATAAAAATATATACATACATACATCCATAGAAATAAGATTATAAATGTCGTAATACAAACGCTTAAAAGGTATTTTGTGACAACCATTAAATGATTTGTCAATATTTTTTGTGTATTTTGTATTTAATTTACAAACATGAGAATTACATGATTTGAGTATTTCTATTATTCGTTTAATATTAACAAAAAAATGCAGACACTAGAGACAGCAAAATCGAAAGATAAGATTAATAAAATTTAGCAGCTAAAATGGAGTGAATGAACGACCTAATGAATGAATGAAAATGTAAAGGTTGAACACATGAAATTGTCCAACAACATTTATTTCATAGAAAGCGAAAGGTATTTGAACTCAGTTGACCAAAAACTATTCGTATCTGAGCACAGAGACACAATCAATTAAGAAAAAAATCGTTAAAGTTGAAAAGCCACTTAAAAGGAACATGAAAACCAAATGAATGAATGAACAAATTTTATATGAATGTTAGAGTGACCACTTAAATTTTGTTCAAGAAAAAATAATAAAGGTTCCATCAATACTGCAGTGATTAGGAAGCTACACAGAGGTAAAAATCCGGTAGAAAAGTATCGAAATTGATACAATCCGTTGTCAAAAGTGAGCTTACCACGTTTGTTAACATTTTCACAACGAATGTGTATAAAATTTAAATAACACCCAGTTATCATTTTGACAACCACCGTTGTGATTTTGACAAGGCATCGTTGTCATTGCAACAACGCTTTGTAGTCATTTCGATTACACTTTGTGTCATATACAACGCATTGTTGACATTTAGACAACGCAACGTTCTGTTTGACAACATAGCGTTGTCAGTTTGATAACACATCGTTTTGACTCAGAAAAGATACCCTCCATATAAATAAATAAATAAATAAATAAATAAATAAATAAATAAATAAATATTATACAAAATTTTAAATTTTCGTAGTCAATCGCCACCAGTCGTAGATCGAATCTACGTTTATGATTTGACTACGTCATGTATTTTATTTGGTAATATGACAACTATCCGTACATACTTTGACAGTGAATGTTATTGAAGAATTATAAACTCTTTGGTGTCAATTTGGTACCAAACGTGTATAATTTTAAAACGCCTATTTCCCCTCTGTATAGTACCTATCTAGTATTTTGAGCATTTAATAAACTTTTGAACAAAAAACTTATGTATATAAGACTATATATATTATAAATTCTGTGAGGATCGATCAATTATGAGACATACATATAAGACGTGTTTCAGAAATTAATTTAAAATCATGAGTAGATCAGAATATAATTGGCTATATCAAGGCTAATTTTAGTTATTTTCAATAGGGGACATCGAGCTATGCGTACGATTTTAAAATTGAAAAGAAGAGGCAAGCCCATCTAAATCAATCCAAAAAGTAGCTCAGAAGCCATTTCAAAAGTTATGTGTGGGACCAACATATAAATACGTTACAAACATCAGCACAACCACATACTACCTATTCCTCTAGTAAAAGTTATAACAAAAATTGACAAAATTTTATTAAACATTAAAACATGATTAATTAATTTGAAGTTGAAAATTATTTTTATAGCTGGTCTATAGTGTTTTAGTGTTATTAAAATATTTTTTATATTCATTAAAAAAATTATACATATTTCTTTATTAGAGAAAGTCGAAGAGGAAAAGTTTTGTAAATTTTACAAGTGTTTAAGTTAATTAAACAAGAAATTACAAACAGTGTTTGTTACAAATATAGAGTCGTGTTTTAAATTTGTTTATTTGTTTGTACATACAAAGTCATAAAATATTTTTTTAGTCTAATGCCCAGCGGTCTAAATATGTATGTATGTATGTAATTATAAAAAAAACAAAGCAATAATTTAAATTGAATAGAACTGCTACGACTGTCTGGTCAGTTTGCATTCAGCAGCAAAATACACCTGAACTGTAAATAAACCTAAACAAATCATCATTTTATTAAAACCTCAAATAATGTTTTTAGTTTTTATAATTCGTGTGTTGATTTTAATAAAGAAAAGGAAAACAAAATTACAAATTGATAAAAAGCCATAAAAACTAAGCATGCGCAGAGTTTTTCTTTAAGTTTCTTTGGTAATTTTGTTAAATTTCAAATGTATACGATTGTTAGGAAATTGTATCTATATTTGCATCTGTCGGTTGAGTATTTTGAAACAGTTTGGATAATTAGTTAAAGGTGATTTTTAAAGTAAAGTCTATTCGACTATAGACTAGACTATAGCCTAGTCTATAGTATAGTCTATAGTCTAGTCTATAGTCTAGTCTATAGTCTAGTCTATAGTCTAGTCTATAGTCTAGTCTATAGTCTAGTCTATAGTCTAGTCTATAGTCTAGTCTATAGTCGAGTCTATAGTCTAGTCTATAGTCTAGTCTATAGTCTAGTCTATAGTCGAGTCTATAGTCTAGTCTATAGTCTAGTCTATAGTCTAGTCTATAGTCGAGTCTATAGTCGAATCTATAGTCTAGTCTATAGTCTAGTCTATAATCGAGTCTATAGTCGAATCTATAGTCTAGTCTATAGTCTAGTCTATAGTCTAGTCTATAGTCTAGTCTATAGTCTAGTCTATAGTCTAGTCTATAGTCTAGTCTATAGTCTAGTCTATAGTCTAGTCTATAGTCTAGTCTATAGTCTAGTCTATAGTCTAGTCTATAGTCTAGTCTATAGTCTAGTCTATAGTCTAGTTTTTTGTTTGTTGTTTTTTTTTCTAATCTAGACCATCATATAGGTTATAGTCTGGACCACAGTAAAGTTCATTTAGTGAATGCAAAATATATACGTTATCCCCTTAAAGTTATAACCAGCACTATAAAAAGTAAGTGCACACCACCCATTCTAAACTACATTAGACTGATACCCTAAATCATGGCGCAATGGAATTTTAGCTTCCATGACTTTTACAAAAGTGTAATCAAAAAACCATAAAACCAGAAATTTTCATTTGCATGATTATAGTTGGCAACCACCAACCACCATATACAACTTGCTACATGCTGCATGATGTTAAATAAAGAAAAAATTACAAAAAAAAAAACAGTAAGACGAAATCAACTGAAATCATATTTAAGTAATTAGTATGTTACACTTAAAAGACCATGGAATTCAAATGGGTTGGTAGATGATAAAAATAAGACTCATTCTGGGAAGCTCAACAAATGCGAAAATATTTAACCAATTCGTTTATACAACTGCAACAATAAGCAGGATCGTTAAAATACAATTTACACAAACAAACGAACATGTTGTGTGCTGAAGTGCAACAGCAATTACAACAACTAAAAACTGAATTAAATTGATGTAATTTATTCCAACAACAAGGAGTGTAAAGTATACTTTGGAATATATAGATAGACCATATTCAGAGTCCATGGTCTCAGAGTCAGTGCCAGAGAAATATTTAGTTAAATATGAGTTTAAGACAGTGCAGGCTTGTTGAAATTTATGTGGGAAGCTTTTGGTTTAAATCATTTTAATCTTGGGATTACTCCTCGTAAATACAGATTCATTTTAATACTATTCCTTCTCTTTCTGTTCTTTTTATTGTAGTGTATCAAACACATTAACAGCAACGGAATCGTGTGCCACAACCAACATACTGGCATCATCATTATCGACAGCAGCAACAGCCGTAACAGCTACAACAACACCAGCCATAAATAAAAAAGCTCATCACGAGTTGTTGGCCGAGGTCATTATGCAACAGCCAAGTGATTATTATACACAAACGGAAAGTGAACTTTTACAATTGGAGGCAGCTGGAGTACATTTACCAGCCTATCAATTACAAGCCGACTCCTTAGCACAACTAACCCAGCAACAACAACTACAGCAGCAACATCATCTTCAGCACCAGCATCCTTCGTCTTCGTCAAATAATAACGATCGTTCAACCCCAACATCATCATCGAATGCCACACCTACACCCATTACCACAAGTCACATTGATCCAGCGTCAAGTAGCAGTAATGGTGGCAGCAGTCATACAGCCACATCAATACATTTTGTGGCTGCACCATCACAAACCCAACGTCGCCACTGTCAGCCACCCTCAAATCTACCGCTCAGTTCGATTACATCACCCCTGCGTGCCAATTACAAGACAACAGCGTATTTACACAGTCATCATCAGCAATTAGAATTTCAACGTAATTCACAGTCGGACGATGACAGTGGTTGTGCATTGGAAGAGTACACCTGGGTGCCACCGGGTCTAAGACCAGATCAAGTAAGTTTTTCTAAAGTCAAAATGTAATTGTTAAGTCTAGTTAATTCGTAATTTCATTCTGGTATAAAATCAAATTCAAATCTTTGTTGATTGGTTCGGATCATTTCTGATGGACCCACTCATACTGTACATTTATTTCTGAAAAAGAAAGTCAAATAATTGTAGACTGTTCTATAGTCTTGTCTATAGATTGTGATATAGTCTTATATATTGACCGTGCAATGGTATTGGCTACAGACTGTGTTATAGTCTTCACTATAGACTATGCTATTGTCTTGACTATAAACTATGCTATAGTCTTGACTATAGACTATGCTATAGTCTTGACTATAGACTATGCTATAGTCTTGACTATAGACTATGCTATAGTCTTGACTATAGAATATGGTATAGTCTTGACTATAGACTATGCTATAGTCTTGACTATAGACTATGCTATAGTCTTGACTATAGACTATGCTATAGTCTTGACTATAGACTATGCTATAGTCTTTACTATAGAATATGCTATAGTCATGACTATAGAGTATGCTATAGTATTGACTATAGACTATGCTATAGTCTTGACTACAGACTATGCTATTGTCTTGACTATAGACTATGCTATAGTGTTGACTATAGACTGTGCTATAGTCTTAAATATAGACTGCATTATAGTCTTGTCTATAGACTATGATATAGTCTTGACTATAGACTGTGCTATAGTCTTGTCTACAAACTGTGATATAGTCTTGTCTATAGACTGTGATATAATCCTGACTATAGACTGTGCAATAGTCTTCACTATAGACTGTGCTATAGTCTTGTCTACAAACTGTGATATAGTCTTGTCTATAGACTGTGATATAGTATTGACTATAGACTGTGCAATAGTCTTCACTATAGACTGTGCAATAGTCTTGACTATAGACTGTGCTATAGTCTTGACTATAGACTGCGCTATAGTCTTGACTATAGACTGTGTTATAGTCTTGACTATAGACTGTGCTATAGTCTTGACTATAGGCTGTGCTATAGTCTTGACTATAGACTGTACTATAGTCTTGACTATAGACTGTACTATAGTCGTGTAAATAGACTGTGCTATAGTCTTTACTATAGACTGTGCTATAGTTTTGACTATTGACTGTGCTATAGTCTTGAATATAGACTGAGCTGTAGTCATGACTATAGACTGTTCTATAGTCTTTAGTTAAGACTATAGATTAGGATTTGAATTTTTGTCACTTTGATGTAGAAAATCATAGATTTTGTACACCCTTTTGTCACAAATAAGCGATAAGTAGACATTTTTTAAAAACTTATAATACATAGTTAAATAGTTATTGTTGTTATTTCCCTACAGTTTTAAAAACTTATCAACCGCATAAAAATTAAATATCTATGTTTATATGTAAGTAGTTTTAAATTTCCAAAGGTTGCACATGACTACCCCATACATTCCTACAAATTCAAACACAAACATACTGCAAAAAACAACTGCCATTAGCTAAACATTGTCGTAATTATCATCAACAAACTTTGCCACCGTCACTGTCATCAGCAGTCCAGCACTTTTCATTCATCACAAAAATTAAGCTTGACGATGACTACGACTGCATTTGACCATAAATTGAAAGTTTTACTTGAGTAAACATTCAATTCGCATTGACTTGAGCACATAGTTGGCCAATCAGCATTACGCATTTGATAAATGTTTCTTTCTCAAATATTTAGTGTTTTTTGGTAAAACTACTGTCTTAAATAACTTTTCGTAGTTTATCGCTTCCAATGTTCCCTGATGACCACTGACAACAGTGACAAAAAAAGTCAGTAAGTGCTATATAGACAGTATCCGTTCATCCATATCTATCCACTCTTCCATTCATTCATTACGCCAAGTTGCTAGCTCTAACGCCATCTCCAGCAAACACCTGTTTTTTTTTTTTTTGTTTTTCAAATTTAAACTATGTGATTTTGATGTTATATTTTCTTTATGGTTGATTTGTTTCAATGGACGTGTAAAAAAAAATCTCTGTTCATTAGAGACAAATTAAAATTGTAACTACTTAATGTTGTTGCATTTTTATTATTGAATGTATACAAATAATAACATTAAATAACAGTTAACTAAAACCAAACCAAAGTAATTCAATATTTTTGAAAAAACACACATTTTCCAGATTTTTTCAATCTCTAAAGATGGTTTTGGTTTATAACAATTAATTTATGATTGTTTTACTTGGCGAAAGCATAGCTAATTGAATTTTTTCCTCAAAAGGCCATTTTAAATCGATAATTGATGTTGATTATTGGGGAAACTTGATTATAATTATATCATTTTAAATTTGTATTGTAATTGTTGATTGTTTGGAAAAATGCTCATAATTATATGTATGTATAATTTTGGGTGGCAACATGTTTTCTTAAATTGGTAGTTTAAACTTCCAAATAGATGTGAGAAAAAAATAACGTTAGTTGTTTACCTTATGATCCACATATGATTTGACATGCGTATTAAATACTCTAGTTTATACTTGGATTTTGTAGTCCATTTTATTGATATTCTGATTGTAAAATTGTAAAATCGGATTGTCTACCTCTTGAAGGATTATGACAAGAACAATGTGTCTAACTCTCTGAATCAAGGAAGTGTGATAGTTTTGTGTCCAGACTAGCCTGGGGTGTAGATGTTAAAAAGCCAGTAATAATATATATTCACTGGAGCACCGTCGCAACGTGAGGTATATTTCATTGTTCTATCGATATTACAATGAAATTTGTTTCTTCTGAAATTAGGTAACACGTATATTTTCACGTAACACATCATTTTGAGTTCGATTGACCAGTGGGCCATTGGGACACATTACTGGGAAAATTCATTCTTCAGCCGCACTTTTTGTATGTGGAACAAATTGACTGCAGAAGGACTTCCCGTCATTTTCGATGTGAAAAGTTTTAAATCAAAAGTCCATAAACACTACTTATTCTATCCTACCTTCCACAACTAATTTTTATAGTTCCAGCACAATTCACTGCATAAGTAGGGTCATCCTCTGAGTGCTGGTCAAAGCAAAAAGCGGTTTCCAACGCTTTCCTATAGACAAGTGAACCAAGGTCAAAATAAGTTGTATGACACCGGTATACAAGAGGATTTCTTGCCAGAATAAAAATCTTATTTATACGACTATAAGCATTAGAGATTATGAACTCCTGTACTACAACAGTCCACAAAAAACCAAACTTTATTTGGGGAAGGATCCTTCTCATTGTGTAAATACGCTGATAAAATAATGCTTAGAGACCCTCAACGCTCTAGCGCGTCTACCGAACTACAACATGAGATGTATTAAAGAAAGACACATTTCTGGGTGGGGAAACTATATAAATTCGTGAACTAATGCTTAGATAATTTCTGACTCTAAAACAGGGCTAAGTAATGGCTCGTGGATAATTTCCTTCTCTCTAATACCCAGCAAAGTCATCAAATTCTGATCACACTGAAGCCAATTAATCGGCTCATTTGGAGCGGAAAGTAGAAGTCGGTAGAAGTACATATTCTAAACTGATCCGAACCGTCCAGATTTTAGCTCCAAATTCCTTTTTCTTAACAATAATACGGTTCTGTTCTTGATTTGGAACAGAGTACGCCAACTAGGACGAAGCTTTTAAGAAAGGCTAGGACTACTAAATAATATATGATATTTTTGAATAAGAGCTCTTAATAAGAATATAGCTTTTTAACTTATAGTAATACTTAAATATAGCTCCGAAAAAAGTGAATATATTTAAGTAGCAAAAGTATCCAGATAAAAAATCACACACAATAATTTTCCTGAATATTATTTTACATACATACAACTTAACTTTTTCTATTAAAGTTATTCCCAACACGATTTAAAGTGATATTTTACTAAATAGTTATTATTTTTCCCAACTTTTCGTAAAACTTAATTGGTAAAACCCAGCAATTTTTCATTGTAAATAATTGTGGCAAGTATAGATTAGCGGGCGGATAAAATTTTACTTAAATACCCTTAAAAATTTCAAATATTTATAGTCGTGTTTAATCACCAGACCCACCCATATTGCCACATTCACAATGGATGTGTGTTCACATGTTGTACTCATAACCTGCAGTTCGGAGTAGCAGTCTGTAATAATTAATTGAGGCAGTAATAGATTTCTCTTGATGGTTTAAGAACTACTTTCTTAAAGTGATTTCTTCTTGATTATTTAGAAACACTACATACGTGTTAGAAATCCAGTTATATCGAAATTTGGGCCAGCCAAGGTGTTAGACATTTGGGAAAATTACTGTGCGAAAGGAATATACTGTTTGCTTACAAAACCGCTGGGCTTGTATATTGTAACTCGGTATATTGGAAGCTTGTAACAGCTCATGTTGTTCAAATATTTTATTACAACAAAATTTCATATGATTTGGTGGGTACGAGGATTTTCATTTTATCTGCCACATGACCAAAAAATAATAATAAATACAATAACCAAAAAAAAGAAAACTGTTTCTAACTTTTAATAGCAAGTGCAATTAATAATGTGAGACCGACTCCCTCTATGGAAGTATGTACTCGTTCATTTGATTGTTCATGCAACAGCCAACAATAACTAATGGCCCCTCTCACTCTCTTTCACCGATATTAGTTGTTGTATGTAGTTGACCAGACCAAGGCACTTGTAATAAATTTCCAATACAACACAATCTGCTATTTAGATGGGAATAGATTTTTGTGTTTGTAAATAAATCCAAAATTGTATGGCCAAGTCGCCATAAATGGACGACAAATGAACAAGCAAACTAACAAACATACTCAATCGTTTGAGTGAGTGTCTGAGATTGTCGGAGCAGTTGTATGTTGTGAACTAATTGAACCCCACTTCGGACAAAATTGATGCACACAGCATGGAATCTACAAGCGACAACCGTTGTACTTGTAAATACAGGCAGTGGCAATATAGTAAGAGGAATCTGACTGCATCATACGGGATGAATGGACAAAAAAAAAAAAAAAAATAGAATGCTCATATAACTAATGCCGCAGGGAGGGCACTTAATAGTGTAACAATCTAACGGCAATTGTGGCTAGTGTGTGTATTGTCTGGCAGAGTGATGACGATGCCGATAAAAGAGCCAAAGGATGTGGCAACCATTTTTGGTTGCACCAATATATTGTATGTGTTTTGTAGTGGTTGGTACAAATGATGCATAGCACATCATTACTTTTAATCGAAATTGACCAAATTGTCATGATGATGGTGAGAGTGAAAGTATTTTTTTGTGATTAATATCACAAAGACAGTTAGAGCATAGTTTATTAACACAAACACATGTGAACATTTTCCAAAATTAAATTCCCTGCAGTTCGGGGTGAACATTTTTATAAACTTGCAAAGGAAATAGTTATTATACCCTTCACTTTCGTGAGAAGGGTATATATAAGTTTGTCATTCCGTTTGAAATTTCTACAATGTAATTTTCCTACCCAATAAAGTCGATTAAGCCAAGTCCGTGTTTTCCCCCATGTTAGTGTTATTGCAATATCTCTGGTGATGACCAAATGTATGCTCGGCCTTTCCTTGGAATGATTTGACATGGGGTCAAACCAGAGCACCATATAATCTGGCATTACGGGTGACCAGTTGCCCGCAGGATTTATCCTGTCTGGTTAGTTGAGGTTCCTTCGGGATCCACGTAGTGGATGGGAAGAGAATGTTGGTTTAAGGACTGATATATCATATGCCATATACATATGTCTGGATTCTCTATCCGGTGCTGTTGTCATCATAACAAATATCACTGGTGGATGTGACTGAGTATCCTGAACTCGTTGAGTATCTCTTACTCTTCGCGCAGTAGGGCGCCAGTATAGATTGGGGAATTCTCAGGTTGACACTTGGTAGTTGCCTGTTATTCCGTAGATCGTTTTCTATGGTCTGAGACTCCTCCGCCCGACAGGATACTAGTACTGAATATCTCAGTATTGTGGTTGCGCTTGCTTTAAAATGTTAAGGAATGCACTGGAATGGGTCATTAGTTGGTGGGGATTGCATTTAAATAATGCAATGTTTCATGATAACTCTCTAGATATCATGAATACCGGTCACCTTCCGGTATTCCGGAAGATTGATTTGATTCAGGGGCGCGTGGTAGTCCGTTCTCAAGTCTACCCAGTGGAGTAAAAAAAACACTGTGAAACAAGGCCGTCAAGGCAGGTGTTCACATTAAGCACTTAGACATGCTTGTCTGTCAATCTATCTGTTAAAATCTATTTTATGAAGACCCCAGATATCTTGGGATATAAATCTTCAATAGTTCTATCTGAAATGCATTCGATTAGTTTTCTATTTATAAAGTATAGATTCGTTTTAATTATAAATTTTGTGTAAAAGGGATACATACATACATTAAACTACTTGAAAAACTACCGGGAAATGCTAGCTTGCAAATGTTTGCGATAACAAATTGATATATTGGCAATTTATATTGATTTGCGAAAGAAAAATCCATCATAACGGCAAAATCCATAATGCATTAAAACGGGTACATTTATTATTTACGATGACATCTATAAATTAAACTAAACGAAAACCGATAAAACTAATTAATTTGATTGAATTTAAAATTTTTAACGACCAGTTTTATTTTCACTTTCAGGTACGTTTATATTTCTCCCAATTGCCAGACGACAAAGTGCCGTATGTTAATAGTCCTGGAGAAAAATATCGCATAAAGCAGTTGTTGCATCAACTGCCACCACAGGATAATGAAGTAAGTTTAACAAAATATAGTTTAACAAATTTTTAACAAAGAATTGAGCTGCTCTGAGACCAAATTGAAACTCTGAATTTCTCTAGATTTAAAAAATCCTAAAATATCAATTTTTTTAATAATTACAGGTACGCTATTGTCACTCCCTAAGTGATGAGGAACGTAAAGAATTACGTATATTTTCGGCACAACGAAAACGTGAAGCTTTGGGACGTGGTGCAGTACGTCTGGTATCCGATGAACGTCCTTGTCAAAATGTAAGTAAAGTGTATCTATCACATTTAAATTACATAGTAATTAAAACAAAACGGCATTTTTTCTATTTATTACTATTTGCATGTTAAACGAAGACATGTAATTAAATATTCATATAAAATTGCAAACATTTGCAAGCAAATAAATCAAATACTTTGACAACAACAACGAAAATAACACCCAGACTCATATATAAAATCCTACAGATGCAAAATACTCTTGTAAAACTTAGTGTTTTTGTTTTTATTTTTTTTTTCTAACTGTTAAAGTAGCCAACTTTTCATAAATTTAATTTTTGGTGTAATTTTTCATCTGCCATTTATTTTATTTTCGTTGTTATTTTTTTGTTTCTTTTCTCATATTGGCCAAATACTTACATAGTTATTAAAACTAGACTGAAAGGAAATAATAAAATGCAAACACTTTTGCCACTTGCAACATCAGGTTTTTCCTTTACTTGTTCGTTGTGTTCGTCATTATCATCTGCCATTTGCAGTGATTATAAACGTTGGTGCGCCACTGTCATTACCCGTACAAATGGCAAAAACTTTAGAGTCTTTATGGGGATGAAAAGAGACTGTTGGGGACCCCAAAAACTTGGTCTTTACAAACTAAACAATAGTCAAACAGCCACATTTACTGTTAAAAGTTTGTAACAGATGACAAAAAGATTTCATTAAGTCTACATAAAAACCAAACTAAAAACTGAAAAATACTTATTTACTGAAAAAACAAAAAAAAAAAAAAATTGTACGAAACAAAACAATATTCATAAAATAAAAATACAAAAAAATGGACCAGAAACAATTGAAAAGACGTTGTTTTATTATTTTTTATGTTGCAAATAGAGAAAAAAAATAACACTAACAACAAATAAGAAGTTGACAAAATGTGTCTTAAACAGTTGTTTTTGTCTGTTATTTTGTAAAAACAAAAGTATCACGTAGTGAACGAGTACGAATGTTACATATATTTTTTTTAGCCCCTACTAAATGAAACGGAATATTAAATTTGCTCTTTCATATGTAACAAATATCCTGCAATTTCTATGTTTTCTTGATCTACAAAAAAAAGTTGCACATTTCGAGAAATAAAGAGCCTTTGTTTAGTCTTATTGTAAACTACTCTAGTTTACAGTCTATAGTCCAGATTACGGCCTATAGTCTATACTACTAACTATAGTTTATAGTTCAGACTATAGTTTATAGTTCAGACAATAATTCATATATGTAGTTTAGATAGTTTATAGTTCAGACTATAATTCATATATGTAGTTTAGACTATAGTCTATTGTTCAGACTATAGTCTATAGTTCAGACTATAGTCTATAGTTCAGACTATAATTCATATAGTTTAGACTATAGTCTATAGTTCAGACTATAGTCTATAGTTCAGACTAAAGTCTATAGTTCAGACTATAGTCTACAGTTCAGACTATAGTTCAGACTGTATTCTATATTTCAGACTACAGTTCAGACTATAGTTTATAGTTCAGACGATAGTCTATAATTCAGACTATAGTCTATAGTTCAGACTATAATTCATATAGTTTAGACTATAGTCTATAGTTCAGACTATAGTCTATAGTTCAGACAATAGTCTATAGTTCAGACTATAGTTTGTAGTTCAGACGATATTCTATAGTTCAGACTATAGTCTATAGTTCAGACTATAATTCAGACTACAGTCTATAGCTCAGACTATAGTGTATAGTTCAGGCTATAGTCTATATTTCAGACTATAGTCTATAGTTCAGACTATAGTTTAAAGTTCAGATTATAGTCTAAACTATAGACTATATTCTGAACTACAGTCTGAACTATAGTCTATATTTCAGACTATAGTCTATAGTTCAGACTTTAGTCTATAGTTCAGACTATAGTCTACAGTTTAGACTATAGTCTAAAGTTCAGACTGTAATCTATAGGATGAACTATAGTCTATGGTTTACACTATAATCTATAGAACGGACTATAGTCTATACTTCAGACTATAATCTATAGACCGGACTACAGTCTATATTTTAGACTATAGTCTATAGTCAGATTGTAATTTATAATCCACAGTCCAGTGTGCAGTCCGCACTATAGTCCAAGTTATTGTCTATAGTTCAGTTTATAGTCCAAACTACAGTCTATAGTCCAGACTATATGTATTCTGTACTATAGTCCAATTATAGGCTATAGTCCAGATAATATCCCATAGTCCACACTGTAGTCTGTAGTCCTTACTATAATCTATAGTTCAGACTATAGTCTATAGTCCAGATTATAATCTATGGTATAGAGTATAGTCTAATTTCTATTCATAGAAATATACCGATTTTTTAAAATTTTCGATATTTTCTCATTCTATATTATATTATTTAAGATACATTAGCCATTCTAAGAATATTGTTAATAAAATGTCGTTTTAATAGGTATTATCTACTAAACTCTAAACAATATTTTCCCCTCCTTAATTCGGGTTTGACCAGTTAAAATTTATTAACCTGTTTTTCATTCAAATTATATAAAAATTCATAACAAAAACTCCATAAAAAGTGAATGGTGAAAAAATTGCAAATAAAAACTGCTCCACTACAAACAACAAAACTGACAATGAGAGGAAAAATCTTTAACAAAAAAAAAAAACTTCTTCAATTGTATTTTACTTTGTTTTTGTATTTTTTTCGCTTTTCTTAATATTTGCTATAGAAATTGTTGGACTTTTTGTTTAAATTTGCATCATCATTATTGGCTGCCAGACAATGACTAGCAAGCCAGCAGCAACCAGTCGAGAGCATTTTAAACAGACAGATTTCATAAAGTTTTCTACTTTTATTATTTAACTTCTACTTTCTTCAACACTTGCCAAACTCTGGAAGAAATTTGAAAGATACACACCAAAATCTATCGTAGCATCAACTGAACAATGAAATGCACTTTCATTTTATTTAAGTACTCGTATTTTCTATACACCAATTCCATTGTTCTGTTATTTTGGTTCTTATTAAAAAAATATATATTTCTTAAGAATCCTGAAAATCATAGAAGAAGGAGTAAAACTTTTTGTATGCAAAAAGTAAACAGTAGTGGCTACCCGGCAGTTTGGGGGGAACACTACTTAGATATGTATGTCTAATTGTCTTTAATAATGCAAAAGTAATAAAGTATATTTAAATAAGAGTAAAACGTTAATTTAAAAAATTTCTTCAATTACAAATTTTTATTAATGATTTTTTGACAATTAATGCCTTGAAAGTAGATTAGTTTGTAAACAGTGCAGCATTAGTCTCAAGAACTGCTGATAAGAAAGTTTGTATATACGCACTTCTATATTCATGAAGACAAACAAACATCTATACAAATACGAATATACACGAGTCAATAATGGATATTTGTTGTTAAAAGTTTTTCCTTGAATGGTTGTACTTGGTTTTGGCCCTTTCCAATGTTCATCATTTATTTTGTGCACTTTTCATTGAAAAAGGATTTATTAAGGAAAAAAGGACTCTGTGTTGAGTTCATTTTTTATCCTTCGTTTTATTACTGCTGCATTTTTTTTCACTTTTTGTTAGCTTAAGCAGTGAAGTTTCTTTCTTTTCTATACTTTTCTCATCATAAAAACTGCGATTTATGAAAAGTGTTTGAAAAGAAAATCTTTTTAATATTATTTGAAGTTTTTTTTCTGTAAGGAATTTGCAGAAAGTGATGGGTCTTATTAAAAAGATTTTAATTAAATAAATGTAGCAAGCAGTTTAAAGAAGAAGAAAAAAACAGCTTTTATAAAGAAAAGATGTTTTAGATTGAAAAAGAACGATAATACGGGGACTAATATCAAACTAAATTTTTCTTTTAAAGTAATTTGTTATAATTGTAGAAAAAGCTTAACTATGACAAAGCAAAATTATTCAAATTTTCAAAAATTTAAAACCCACATAAAATTGTCTATGAAAACTTTTTACTATATAGTAAATTTATTACAAAATTTTACAACTTTAAAATACTTATATACATATATAAATTTTAAACGATTTTCAAAAAACTCAGCTATCCTAAACAAATAAGATTGTATATGTATGTACTTAAACAAATATATGAGAGTATTTTAATTTAAAATTTCATTTGGTATCCTTGAATGCATATGAGTTTTTAAGGATATTTTCTGCTTTGTTAGACTTTGTTAAAAACAAACAACAACTTAATTGTCTCAACAATTCAAAGTTATTTTCCAACAAAAGAAACCACAAAGTAGAAATATACTTTTATTCGAGCATAAGAGAAATAGAACCTAACTTACATTTTTTTTAAATGGAGTATCTTGGAAAAATTTTAAATAACCCGAACATTTAGGATAGTGATTTTCTGAATAAATTAAGGAAACTCTTGAGACTTAATAAAGCCATATATTACTTTTAAACCAAAATTATTATCCAAAGGGGACTTGGGATCATTTAAGCTTGGTTTATAGACACTAAATATGATCATAAAACATTTATAACCATACTATAAAAGGTTTGTGCTTGTGACTTACCAAATTTCATTGGTCTACATATTACCCATTTCAGTAAAGCTAAAGTACGTCTTATAAGTTGTAGGGACCCGAAATATTTAGAAATACTATCAACAAGACTAAAAATTTTACTTTTTCACTATTTTCACAAATTCCAATCTAATTTATTGAACGAATTCTCGTTTAAAAAGTACTTTCTGAAAATTAAACAAAAATACATAACTCTTTTATGAAACTGAAAACGAAAATCTGCCTATACCGAACCCCGGTTCTTAGACAGGACGATATCAGTGACAAACAGGGTTAAATAGCTAGACGAAATGCTTGATCGAAAACTAAAATGGAAACAGTACATTGAGGATTGAACCAACAAAGCATATCGATGTTGGGCACTGTGTAGCAGAACTTTGGGTTTGGATCTAAGTCCATCCATGACAAACAGGCATAATTACACCAATTCTAAACACACTCACAGCCGAACGGCTGCTATCTTTTTGTGAATTAAGCA